AGAATTGAAGAGAATTTATTAAAAAATGAGTTTTGCTCTAATGAAGAAATCTCGCGGGCGTCGGATCCGAGGTCTGAGGGGCTTATTATTGGAATGTTAATGAGTTTCCCCCCCCGATGAATGAATGAATTGGTCCCTTTGTTGTATGAAGGTATTTACTATCGGGGTGGGAAGAGTCCCCACCCCCCCACCGCCCCTCACTTTTTATCTCTGCTCTGGAATCGCATTATCTGACCGCGCCAGCTGGACCATCTGGAAGCGACGTTAGGCGAGGACTTTATTCCCATTATGAGCCGCCATTTACCAAATAGATTCAGTCTATGATGGGAAGCGTCCCAGCATGCCCTGTGTGCCGCCAAGCCGTTTCTGGCCAAAGTCGCATGAGAGCGCCCGCCGTCTGCCAGTGCCGGCCACAGATTGTGGGACAATGCGGATAAAATTTCCACCTGCAGGGCCACATCTAGACTATGGGGTAGAACTGTGTGTGAAGGAGATTGAGTTCCGGGGTCTGTACACCCGCTGTGCCCATTATGAGGAGCTCCCCCCATCCCTGTGCTGAGTTCCCGGGTCTGTACACCCGCTGTGCCCATTATGAGGAGCTCCCCCCATCCCTGTGCTGAGTTCCCGGGTCTGTACACCCGCTGTGCCCATTATGAGGAGCTCCCCCCATCTCTGTGCTGAGCTCCCGGGTCTGCTCATCATTTCTGATTTCCTCCAGCCTTAGGACACAGGCCTATAGATGTCTATGGGGCTGCACTGCGTAGGTGTCGATGATGTTGAAGACCTGGAAGGGTTGAGCTGGGGATTACCCGACCACGTGAGGCAATAATTGTAATATTAATAACATCACATGACGATGGATTTCGGATTCTTGCTCTCGGCGTTCTCGGATATAATTGGTAAAATGGGGATATTTCTCACCGGTTGGCGTCTGGAGGTCGTCCTGTGTGATCTTCGCACGGAGACTCGCCATCAGATAATAGTTGTCATTGGTCGGAATTTTCCATAGTGAAGGTTTCTGCCTCTTTATATGGATCCATGAGATGACGTTCTCCGATACACTGTGTGATTCCCGGAGTGTAACGCCTGCCATGATTTTTGTCTTTCAGGTGTCAGAGTGGAGTTCGGATGAAGACACCCGGCGGTCCTGTCAGAGTAAAGGGAAGACGGAGGTAAGATTTGGCTCGGCGCTGAACGCGGTCTCTGTCCTGCGTCCTCTCTAGGGTTGACCGTCAATGTGCGTGTGACCGCCAATGTGTGTGACCGCCAATGTGTGTGACCGCCAATGTGTGTGACCGCCTTGGTGTAAGACCGATGGATTTCTGATCCTTGTCATTGTTAATACTAATTCTTGTATCTGCATTCATAAGAAAAGTCCGGTGGAAACATTCGATACTATCGGGTCATTGTGACAAAATTCCATTTTGCTTTTAACCCCTTCATGACTGAGGCCTTTCTTAAAATTTTTTGCACCCATGTTATATTCCACATTTTAGGCCTGAAAATGACTTAAAACCCCCCAACATTATATATTTTCTGAATGCCAAGACCCTATAGAATAAAATGGTGGTAGTTGCAAATGTTTATGTTGTGCAATATTAGCGCAACTCCTTATTAAACCCCAACATTTAGTGAAAAATGTAATTAAATGCCCCAAAACACAACAAAATACCAATTTTTTAAATGAAATATAAAAGATGAGGTTACAACGAGTAAAACGATACCCAACGTGCCCAGGTTACAAATTGCGTGCGTCCGTGAAACGGCGAACAACTGCAGTAGCCCAAAAAGTCCATAGAAGACGCTTTAAAAGCCCCCACAGGTCATCAATTTAGAGATACCCCAAAATACTGGCCCTAGAATGATTGTTCTCACTCCGGCGTGCGCGGCGATACC